TTGCTTGGGATTCCCTCTCCCTCTCTCTCTTCCTGCCCCTCCTCACCCCCAAAATAAATAAATATTAAAAAAGTAAAAATAAAGAAAAGGAAAATACTCAACTCACTCATAATAAGAGAACCACAAAAGAGACACCAATCTCAGTGCATTAGATTGTCAAAGACCAAACAACAACCTAGTAATACGCCATATTGGAGAAGTGGGAAACAGAAACTCAAATATTGCTGGTGGGAGTGTTTGTCTCAGCCTTCATGGAGAGCAGTTTGGCCACATTTTCTTTGACCCAGAAATTCTGTATCCAAGAACTTATCCCAAAAATATTCTTGCAAGTGTGAGAAATCACATATATCCAAGGATCTGTATTGCAGCAATTTTTTGCATCCAATGATCACAAATATCCTAACTGTCTGAGAGTAAGGGATGGAGCAAATAATTAGGATATGTTCATACAATAGGATACTATGCCACTGCTAAAAGCAGTTTTACATGAGCTAATACAAAAAGATATATAAGATGTTTTCTGAGAAAAACAAGGTAGATGAAAAATATGTATCATATGTTGTAATTTTTTTTTTAATTTTTTTCAACGTTTTTTATTTATTTTTGGGACAGAGAGAGACAGAGCATGAATGGGGGAGGGGCAGAGAGAGAGAGACACACAGAATCGGAAACAGGCTTCAGGCTCCGAGCCATCAGCCCAAAGCCTGACGCGGGGCTCGAACTCACGGACCGCGAGATCGTGACCTGGCTGAAGTCAGATGCTTAACCGACTGCGCCACCCAGGCACCCCTGTAATTTTTTAAAAAAGGTATAGCTATGCGTATACCACCAGCCTCTGGAAGGATACACAAGAAACTGGTAACAGTGGATGGCCAGGGGGAGGGGCTGAGTAGAACTGGGAGGCTGGGGATTGGGGTTCGGAGGGGAATTTACTTATATATACTCATATACTTATATATATTTTATTATATACTCTTTTGTATCTTATGAGTTTCATATCATGTGAAGGGATTACATATTCAAAAAAAAAAGTAAAATAATTTTTTAAATGCTTAGCTTAGGGACGTCTGGGTGGCTCATTTGGTTAAGCATCCTACTCTCGGTTTCAGCTCAGGTCATGATCAGAAATAGTGACAGAGACAGAATAAGTCTTTATTCCCTGTGCACAGACTAAATATCCAGGGGGAGAAGGGGCATGAACCAAGACTCAGGAAAATTTCGATTTTATATGTCTTCAGAAATACACACTTACACAATTATAGGATTCTAAGGCAAGAAAGTGTTGGAGATTCCCCAGACCCACTTTTATTTTGTGACTGAGGGCAGGACAATCTGAGAATAAACATTTGTTAAGAAGAAATCTGTAAACACTCCCCAGGCAGACATTAAGGTAGGAATGCCAGGAGATAACAGTTTGGGAGCTGGCAGACATTCCTTCTGTCATCAGTTGGACATACTCTGCCTTCTCCTTGTCGCTGGGGAACACATTCCACTGCCCACCGTGGCCCCCCTGTAATGCAGGCCTCATTCAGATGAACCCAGAAGGTGTCTGGCCTTCTGGAATCTGGAGGCAGTGCCCAGCAACCTGGGAGTGGTCCCCACCCATCTGTGACTGAGAGCCACTCTTGCAGCCTGTTGGACATCAAGTGTCTTTGTTGATCATGGTTCCTCCCCAGAGCATCAGGTGTCCGTCCTGGAAACTTCCTACCCCTGGGTCAGGTGGAGGGTCTTCATCATGGATTCCAAGGCTCCCTTCTCACTTAACCCTGAAGTCCTGTGAGCAATGATGATAAATAAAAACATTGGTGGTGATTATAACCTCCTCATCTTTAAGGTTATCTGTCTGTCTGTCTTTATATCTGTCTATCTCTCTTTAAATCACAGCTCTCATTCGATACTCACAGCAATGTGATACTCATAAGGCCAATGTGATCCCTAATTTTCAAATAACAGTAAAATATTTGTACAAGGATTTGGTTCTCAAGTGCTTTCCTATACATTATCTCATAGCAGCCCTCCCAGTGCCCTCATGCAGGCAAGGGAAGTTTTATTAACCCAGATATACAAATGGGGATATTAAAGAGGCAGGTGTGGGATAGTGGGCCTTTGGGATACGAACATGTCGGTTTGAATACTGACTCAATGGGCTTATTACACCTATTTCCTCCAGTGTAAAATGGGGATAATAATATTTGCATCCTTTGTCATCAGACTGGATTGTTGTTAGGATTAAATGACTATAGTTCCAAAGGATTTCAAGAATTAGCATTCGAATGGTTTCTTGTTTCTCAATCTAACATTTAAAATTTATTTTTATTTTGGGGTGCCTGGGTGGCTTAGTCAGTTAAGCTTCTGACTTCAGCCTCAGGTCATGACCTCACAGTTCATGGGATCTAGCCCCACATGGGACTCTGTGCTGACAGCTCAAAGCCTGGAGCCTGTTTCAGATTCTGTGTCTCCCTCTCTCTCTGCCCCTCCCCCCGACTTGCACTCTGTTTCTCTCTCTCTATCTCAAAAACAAATAAAAACATTTTTTAAAAAATTAACAAAAATTGTTTTTTTTTTTGAAAATGTTTTGCAAAGGAGGAGAGAGATTAATATAACGAACCTGATGTACTCACCATTATCTGCAACAGTCACCAGTACAAGGCCAGTCTTGTCTCAGCTATACCTCTATCCACCCTTTCTTCTTTTGCTTTATTGACCTGTTTTCAAAATAATGAAGTATTTCCCTAACATCCTCAAGATGGGTTGTGTGGAGTTTTAAAAGTTATTCTTAGGGATTCATAACATATTTGTTATGTTTCAATCTATTGCAGATATGATCCTTACTGCTATACAGCTTGACCAAGGAAACCTTATTCTGGTTGACTTTTGAGTCCTTTTGGCATGATTCTTGTAGTCTGTGACACTGCATTTGCTTTTTTTGGTTTGACGAGATGTTCTAGACTCATCTTGTACGTTTACTGCCTCAGATGTTTCTTCAAAGAAGCCTGATTTCTTTGTGGGGGGATAGTATTTAGAGTTCCTAAACAGATCACCAGGGGTGCTCAATCTTACTGGGATGATCCTTGTTTCTAGGTATTACAGTGAACAAGGCTAGGGAGTATGTGGTGTGTGTGTGTGTGTGTGTGTGTGTGTGTGTGTGTACACATATGTACAGATAAAACATATGAAGTTCATATTGATACTCCAGTTCACAGTCAGGGCTGCAGACTTTTCACTTGATCTCTCAATCTTACATCTGTATCACCTTTCAAGAAGAAAACCTTTTTTCTCAGCAATATCAGTATCAGTATATTGCAATATCAATATATCAGTATATTGCTGAGAAATCAGTATTCATTTGACCTATCCCACGATATATTACAAAAGTCTCAGAGTAACAGTAACATCAGTAATATGATTATTGAAAACAGTTTAGGGTTGGGATGGCACAGGAAAGAAGCAGTTCTTTTTATTCTTAGCCGTGTCTTTCCAAGGATATAGAGTCAAATTACTGTGTTTTAGTTTCTGTGTGTGTAGGGCCAACCAACTGGACACATAAACTCATTTGTGGATTTTATTTTAATTTCAGGCATTTCTTTTAGAAACAGTAATTGTGCTTTTGTAAGTGTGTCAGGTATTTACGTGTTCCAAAGTAAATCCACAAAATAAGGTCTATTCAAAGCCCAGTTTCTGTCCCTGCCCTGTCCACTTCAATCCCTCGCCCCTACCCGGTAGGTCTTTTAATTTTTATTTTATGCTTTATCCTTTTATTATCTTTTTATTTTATTTTATTTTTTTAAATTTTTTTTTCAACGTTTATTTATTTTTGGGACAGAGAGAGACAGAGCATGAACGGGGGAGGGGCAGAGAGAGAGGGAGACACAGAATCGGAAACAGGCTCCAGGGTCTGAGCCATCAGCCCAGAGCCTGACGCGGGGCTCGAACTCACGGACCGCGAGATCGTGACCTGGCTGTAGTCGGACGCTTAACCGACTGCGCCACCCAGGCGCCCCTATTATCTTTTTTAAAAAATAAGTGAATACATATTTACCTGTGCATTCCTGCCCCTTTCTTGAATAAATTATACCATATTAAGCACACTTTTTCCTATCATGTTTTTCTTCACTTACTAGTAGAGATCACAACATAGGTATACAGAATATATTTCAAATGGATTTCTAGAACTGGGATTGCAGGCCAAAGATTGACTAAGTGCCTGTGTAGTCTGATAGATGTTGCCACATTCCCTTCTACAGAGGTGGATTTTATCATTTCCTGCAGACACCTTTTAATGTTAAAGGAAGTGATTAAGTGAGATGTGTCATCTGCACCCGAGAAAGGTTAAATGGTTGCCCAGAGGGACTGGCACTGGGCTTGAACTTGCAAATTCTAACTAATGGCCTGGTGGTCTGACTCACTCTACAGTACCTTCTCCCCACTTTACAGATGAAGAAAATGAGACACATGCAGGGAAATGATCTACCCTAAATGTCATAACAAACTAGAACTTCAAATTCATGTCCCCTGACCCTAAAATTAGCTCTCACTTCTATATGCTATAGATTTATTTATGGTGAGCTCAGTTTGGTTACCTGTAGGTGGGGAAGAAAAACATAATAGTTCTCCTAAGTTAAGACAATTAATGAGATAATTATGGTAAATTCCCCCATAGGTACAAGAGAAATTCTCCAAGATACAGCTTACCTCCTTTAGGTGATGGGGAATCCGCAATTAGATCTCGATGTCAGGGCACTCACTAATAACGATCTTAGGAATGAGAGAGACCACCAAAGTCTGACACGTTTAGGCACCTTGCAGAATCGCTGTCATTTCTTGCACAGCACCTTGAATCTCTTTAAACAAAGATGTCATTGTGCTATGGAAAACTTTCCAAATGGTTGTGGACAAAGATGTAATTTCCCAGTGAGTGAACAAGCTGCAAACCACAAAGCCTTTTCTCTTTCTTTCCTAGAGTGACCCTGGGGCTCTTCTTTGTGCTTGCTTTGTGACAGGTTGGTTGACTTATGTGCAATTTGGGACCCTGGAGTTTTCCTTCCTGCTGTGGGCTGGAAGAGAGCCTCTGGTTTTGCAAGAAGGAGGCTGAATGAGGCAGAGACGGTGAGTGTGTGAGCCCTCGGGCTGGTGCACAAGACTGAGAGGTGGGGGTGGGGGGAGATTCTTGCCTCCTGCCCCTTCTCTCTGATGAGCCAAGGTTCTTTGGCCCCCAGAGTCTTGTGAAAGGACATACCCTTCCTTCTCCCTCGAGTCGGCCACAGAGCCAGATCTCCAGGCTCTCCTTTGCAAGGAGGCTGGCACTGGGGAAGCAGTTACTCCTTTTGTCCAGCAGATGCAGTCAGCGACATTAGTCTTGTCATTGTCCCAACTGTCCACCTGAATTGAAAGATTGGGAAACAGCTTTGTGACCCCCAACCCTCCCCCCCCTAGCCTGGCCTCTACAACCTGGGAGCCTCCTGAATGACAGTTTCAGCATATGGGGGGCAGTCTGGGAACCCCTCCTCTGGGCGGGGAATTGGGCCCTGGCAGATGGACAGCTGTCCACGGCGCAGTAAGCCAACCCGAGGCCGACATCACTGACACAGACCCTGTATGCACGGCCTGCATTGTTCCATTCTCGGCTAGATTTTCCTGCTGCCCCACGGCTCCTGTTTTAGTCTCAGGCTGGCTGGGGTGGCAGGGGAAGAAATGCGGGAAGAGAGGGCTACAGTTTTAACCCAGGAGTTATTGGTGACAGATCACAAGCTAGCAACCCAGAGGTCTGAACAGGGAAAGGTTTCCTCATTCTTGGCTTTGGGCACCTCTGCCTCATGGCATTTTGTCTTTCTCCAGCCCTCTTTCCAGACGTCTTCTGTTCTCCCAGGAGTTGGAGATGGGGCTAGAGCAGAGCGGGGAGGGGAATGCAGGGAGGGGGTCAAAAGGTGGGAGCAGAGCATTGCTGACATGGATTCCAGATCTGGACACAATCCAGCTCCACTTGCTCGGTGACTTTAGGAACGTTTCTAACTGCTCTAGGCCTGAGTTTATACGATGGGGACGGTAATGAACGTCTTGTAAAGATTAAGTGTATAAAGAGCCCTGCGCAATGCCTGGCATGTAACAGGTGTTCAGTAAATGAAAGTTACTATTATTTATCCTATCAACAGAGCTCAGATATGCTTGTCTTATCAAAGTAGTTTCTGTGTGGGCCTTTCGGGGGCCACAACTGGCTTCCGACACTGTCAGGTTTCAGGGACCGCTTGGGAATTCCAAATGACCGCGGGGCTTTTCAATGGATCATTGTTACTAAGTATCGAACTTGAATGTACTGCTTGACACTGGGGGTGGGGGAGGTGCCATTCTTTTGTTTTACTGTATTTGGAGGACCCTGATTGCAAAAGTGGTATATACCAAGCTATTTTCATGAGCATGTAAAGATAGGTAACACAGCATGGGAACAGACCCCCGGGTTTGCGACAGAACCCGGAGGTCGTCTGTTGTGTTACCGTGCCCCCTCTCTGCATGCACTCTCCCCCCTGTGCCCCCCAAAGCCCGTCACCACCCTCCCTGGGCACCGTAGGTGGCACCCCCAGACCCCCGCCTGAGGAGCCCCTCCCTTGTCAGGTGATAGCAACTTCACAGCGCGACAGCACATCTGGCTAGCAGCCCCAGTCTCGCCCTGAGGCGTGCTGCCTGATGCCGAGCAAACCTGTGCTAGCTCGCACGTCGGAACACTTCCAATCTGATCAGCAATCCCTAACACTGGTTCCAAGCTTTCTTTTTATAGTGTGTCCGTTTCATTATGCCATTCAACTTTCATGACAAGTCAGTGGTGCGAGCAAGGCTGGTGTCCTCATGCCATTTGGTCGATGAGTAAACTGGGGCTCAAGAAGTTATTTCTCCAGGGTCCACAAAATTTATTAGCAGCCGAGCCCATTCTAGAATTTAGTTGCCCAGAATTACGGGCTGTTTCTGGCCGTGACACCGCACTGTGCCTCCAGGCAGAGGCACCTGCACAGCACGAGGGGTCACAGGGCCAAAGGACTTTCAGCCGCATAGAGAAACCTTAAAAAAAAAGAAAAGAAAAGAGTGCAGAGAATACATGCGAGCAGGCACATATGGCTGTTGAGGGAACAATAAGTTCTGAGAACAGGAGAGCTGGTCCAGCTTTTTTAGAGGGTGACGATAATCGTCATTATAATAATCAGCGCTCTGAGTACTCCCCATATGCACCGGGCACTGTGCTGTGTACTTGACGTGCATTTTCCATTTTATCCTCACAACAAACCTACGAAATAGGGCCTATTATTATTCACATTTTATCAGTGACAGAAATACAGGAAGTTTAAGGCCTGTACCCAAAGCTGCACGTCTAAGAAAGTGCCAGCACTTTGAATTTGAATCTGGGCAGTCCAGCCGTGGGACCCACACAGCTGGGTTTGGGGTGGCCTGTTCCAAGTGTTCCCGGAAACTCTGGGTAGCCTCTTCTCAGTCCGCCTCCAGCCAGGTTCCAGGTGGGAATATGTTTGCGGAAGCCTCATGGGGCAAGTCCTCTGTTTCTGGGTCTTCCTTCCCTCTGGCTCTTCCCCTTTTGTTCTGAGGCCACTGCCATCTGGAGCTGCCCCAGGCATCTGCTGTCAGCACACTCCTCCCTCCCCACGTGAGGCACCTTCCCCACTCAGACTCTTAGCTCCCCTCCCTCCTCTCCCCCACCCCGCGCTCCACCTCCGGGTCCCCACCAGGCGCTCAGAACGGACACCTGCCCTCTGACGCAAGACAGAGAAACCCCTCGGTTCTCCAGGCCTTCAGTTTCCCAGATGGATCCATTCGGTTAATTGCACTCACACCCCTAAGCCTTTCTGCCCGAGCCTCCTCTCTCCAGACACACGGTAACAGGCCACCTCGGGCAGCATGGGCTCAGGACACCATGTGGGGTGATCGAGAGGGGCCATGGGTCTTCGTTAGGAACTGTTTTGCCCCAAGACCAATCCCAGGCCCCTGAGGCAGTGCCCATGCTTAGCCCCCTTCTCCTGGGGGCGCTGAGATCTACAGGCTAGGTGTGGAGACGTGGTAGCAGCAGTGAGGTAGGTCAAAGCTATTCCCCTAATAGCTGTCTACACCATTTCTGCCGAAACGATGCGTTCTCTTCTCCATTCCTCAGCCTTTTCTGCTGCCCCGCTAAACCCACCTTTTCAGCAGAAGCTGGGCTGTTGAGTTGGAGACACCAAGTCGCTTCTGAGTTTCTATTTCTAATAAGAGGACCACATCTGTAGCAAAGGGAGCCCCTTCTACGTGCTGATGCACGCGCTTCTCAGGGCACAAGACACAAAGCTTTCCCCTGCACCGCTGGAGCCGATCTTTGGTGTAAGCATTGTAGCTGCCAGCACTTTGCACCAGACTCGCAGACACGTGGTGCATCTTCCAACGCAGGCAACAACCTTCCCTTGTCTGTGCCACCTCCCTCCTCCAGGCTCCTGCATTTTCACACCCCCGGCCTGCAGGAGCCTGCCGGGGTGGCAGTTGGATCCGGACTGATGTCTGTCTGGGATGTAAATGGAGGGGGCTGGAGGGAGACAGGGGGGACAGATGCCACTCCCTCCTGCTGTCTTAGCCCTTTCCTCCCTGTGCCCCTTTAGCAGCCCAACAGGAATTTTTAAAACGCAGCTGGGTGTGCGCTGTCCTTGGAATCTCAGCTGCTACACCCATATGGATAGCGGGTTGGAAGTTACCTCCGCAGAACTGACATGGCTCCCTCTCTGGGGCTGACTCTAGCCAGGTGCAATTGCCACCATTGGCCATGGGGCATTGGTGGATGAAGCTGGTATGAATAAGGGGTAGGAAGGGCTTGGGATCAGGAGACCCCAGCAGAGGCAGGAAAGAAAGGGGCCCACCGCTGCTCTGGCTAGTCTGGGATCTTGCAGGAGCCTCCTTTGCCCTCTGGTCTGAAGCAGACAACTACTGGGCACATCACCATGTGTTAGCTTTAAGACTGATATTAACTCCTTGGCCACAGAGCCAAGGCTAGTTGCACAGGCATTGTTGTGCCTTTCATACATCTACAAAGTAGACTTCTGTATTCCAAAGCCCAGCCTGCCCAAAGCTATGTAGCGATGCAATACACCGGCCATAACTTGGAAAAAAGGGAGAAAGGACCAGTGACTTTTGAATGCTGGGTTTGTGCCAGGCCTTGGTTTAGATGCTATACATATAACTTAGCCCGTTAACTGATTTAAAATGAATTAACTCACAACAGTTCATTGAATTAATAATCACTGAGGGGAGCCTGGGTGGCTCAGTCGGTTGAGCGTCTGACCTTGGCTCACTTCCTGATCTCGTGGTTCGTGGGTTTGAGCCCTGTGTCAGGCTCTGAGCTATCAGCACTGAGCCTGCTGCAGATTCTCTGTCTCCCTCTCTCCGTCCCTCCCCTGCTCTCACTCTGTCTCTCTCTCTCTCTCAACAATAACCAAACATTAAAAAAATTAAAAAAAATAATCATGGAAACAACCTTTTATGAAGTGTATTCATCCCACTCTTAAAGACAAGAAAACTTAGGCTCTAAGAGAGAGTAAACACATTGCTGAAGACCATGCAGCAGAGGGCACCTGGGTGGCTAAGTCTAAAGTGAAGAGTCCGCCTCTGGATTTTGGCTCGGGTCATGATCTCACAGATCGCGGGATCAAGCCCCACGTTAGGCTTCTGTGCTTACAGCAAGGAGCCTGCTTGGGATTCTCTCTCTCCCTCTCTCTCTGCCCCTTCCCTGCTTGTGCGCGCTCTCTCTGTCTCTCTGTCTCTCTCAAAATAAATAAATAAAAAAGATCACGCAGCCTGTGGACAGCCGAGGTGGCACTGAAGCCCAGGTGTGTGGCTCCAAGTTCATGCCCTTTCCATGTGCCAGAGGAATTCTCTTGAAGCCCCATCTCTGAATTCATGTCTAGTGAGTTTTCCCTGGTCTGCATGGTTTCCGAGCTAGTTCATTGTTCACCTCTATTGATTAAGCCCAGCCCTCTTCTGTTTTGAGCTGGAGCTTATTCCTGTGAAGGATGCAGGAAAGACCTAGAAGCCACCGCCCTCGCCCTCAGAAAGCTCACAGTCTGATTAAGGGACTGAAGGTCCTCCCTCTTTCC